TGATTACTGCTCTGCACTGCACCATCTCTAACGCTGTCAGCCTGACAAATGATCTGAGATGTGCAATGCCTGCTGCTTTGGTTTTACAGATGTCAGTTATTTGGGGTAGGCTTAAATCAGGCTATCTGATTAATTTTGTTCTTAGTTCTTTGTTCTTTTTTGTTCCTGCTTATTCCACTAACAATTCTGTCTTTAAAATTAACTAGCTGTGTTGTTCAGGTTTTCACTCCTTAACTTCTGCAAGCTGCTTCCCCATTTTCTAATTTCTCCTAAAAAAATTTTTAAGTCAGTTTTATTGTCACTGCATTATTGTTGAAACCCTTTAATTATTTTGCCTTTTTTACTTTGTCAACTTCTTGATCCCTTGGAAAGTAACTATACATTTTTACTGCTTCCTCTTCTTGCAGAAATCAGAAATGTAAAGAGATTCTCTATATCTGGCCTTTTGACTGAATCCCTTAGCATTGCTCAATACTGTACTTTGCATGTTTTCAGCTTCCCATCTTTCAATCTGTGTGTGTTTGGTGGCTTCACAAAATTAATTTAAGGTTTCAGATAACCAGAAGTGATAGAAATGGCTGCCATTTAGACTAGTTCTCAGACTGACATTCTTTGATCACCAGTCGTCTATAGAGCAGCTGGTACTACTCCAGACAGCTACCTGGTAATATGGCTTGCCATGTGCTTTCCTGCTGCTATATTATATTAAAAGAAGTAAGCTACTGTATTATATGAAAAGATGTAATAAATACTTTCTTATTACTTTTCCAGAGGTTGGAACAGTGGCCATATAAACATTAGGGCTGTGAGAAGCTTTGGGCGGCAATTCGATTCAGAAGAGATTTGGCCCAATTCGGTGGCCAAATCTCCAAATCCAAATTGAAGCAGGGGACCAATTTAAAGGACCAAATCGATTCAAAGCTCTCCGAATCTTTGTAAAAGATTCGGAGAGCTTTGATGATTCGGGCAGTCCCCAGTGGCTGCAGCAGGGAGCTGCAGCCAACTCTGAGCTGGTAAGTACTAGGGGCAGGGGACCATGGGGGGATCCCTGCCAGCCCCCCCGCCCCCCAGCCCCTCCATAGCT